GCCCCCCCCCCCCCGTGCAGATCGGATAAAGTAAAAATCAGCCCATTACAGGCCAGCTGGCAGAAGTTGGCCTACCTGTTTCTCTAGTATGTCCGCGGGGAAGGCGCGTACGTGCTGCGTGAGATCCTCGCGGTAGTGATTGGCGAGCGATGGCGTGAGAGAGGGCGTGAGCGGCGGCTGCACCCGGGACAGGGCCTGGAGACCACCGCCGTTGCCCAAGCTCCCCAAAGTGCCCAGAGTACTTATACTCTGTAGGGAACTTATACCTTGCACGCCACTGCTCGCGCTCCCTGGGCTGCTCACTGTTGACAATAAATGATTAGGATTGTCGGCATTGGCGCCGCCTCGCCCACTCTCTTAACGATATTCGCAAGAGCTTTTTTAAGGCCTTCCCCGCCCGTAGCTTTGACGAACATTTGGATATTGAATCTGACATCAATAATGGCATCTAACAAGCTCTTTTTATCGTTACGGATTATATGGGCATCGAAAGATAATTATTGCCTTCTAAAAAGCTAATATCATTGGCCATACTGGTATTTTTTTCTTTTATTTATCGAGTCATCGTTGCTTTATGAAAATTAAATACAGCTCTATATATATATATATATATATATTTATATATATTGATAAATGGATAGATAGATATATATATATATATATATATATATATGCGGCGATCGGCTTTGACGAGTTTGATAACAATTATAAAGGAGGGATGGAATATTTTCTCTAGCAAATATAAATCGAAACACGCTTTTACTTCTTAATAGCCGCCAGCCATTGCGTTTCATGCATTACCACAATTCTCCTCAAGATATAAACTACCAAGTTCTTAAACGATATGTCAAAGCAAATACAATTACAATAATATTCAATTAAATATTCCTCGTTAAAAGAATATTTATTGTAAAACAGAGAGATCGTAGAATACACCGAAACTTACGAGTTTACATCCTAACGTTTCCTAGTACGCGTGCGTGCATTACCCTGAAAATCATGAAAAATATAAACTCGTAATTTACGGCTCTTGGCCAGCTCGCTGAATAAATTAATTAATGATTTTTAAGATTATTAAAATTTCATTGCACTCGTTGCAATTGCATTTGTAATTTTACATGCGTGTTATACCGACCGAGCGGGCTATATATACTGCATCCCGCAGACGACGACGTCGATCCCGAATAAATCACAGATTCCAAATAAAGAGACGAATCTCGAGGAAAACTTACACTTTCGAGCGTCTATACAGTCCTGAGTCTCGGAGTGCGTCGGCGTTGGAGGCCCTTCGCCTGCTACGCTGTTGCTCGTGTCAACTTTCAATGGAGCCATGAGGTCGCTCGAGCAGCTGGTCCTCTCTCCACCTCCTGACTGTTGAGATTCGTGATACAATGTTTATTAATAACATTTATGGATAAATATATCAAACGCTTTGTTTCGATCGGCGACGATACTCTGTCACGATCTGTAATACTCTCGAGATATACCCGAACGCGATGATAATAAACGAGACTCGACCGACTCCCCAATCCACAAGCCGTCAAAATAAATTGCTAGCAAAATTTATCTCTCTTTTACATCCCTCTTTTTGTGCACGATATTACGAAATTTCTATCGCCATTAAATACTGAGCATTTAGAAAGTTGATTCGCTTGTGATAGTCGAAAGTATGACAAGTTCGGAGCAGCAGTCGACCATCAGCCAAGATGGAAGGAAGACGAGGACTTACTTGTCGCGACAGAAGAATGGCTGTCTGAATGGTCTGAAGGGCTTTCTGGGCATCGGGCTGCTCCTTGCTGCCTGTGATTTGCGAGAGGAGGCGCGGAAGGCTCGAGAGCGAGACCGGCGGCCCGGGTGTGTTGCCGGCTCCGTGCTGTTGCGTCGGCGAGCCAAGCTTCCCCGGCGCTTGCGACGTCATTGGATGTGACGCCAAACGAGGTAACGCTGTTGGGCAAAACATGGAGAGTTTAATGAAGTTCTAGGATGCCCGAGTGGGCTCGACCTGACCATCGGCCACCTTCCAACTATCCCTCCCACAAACTTAACTTCTTGGAGAATGACAGAGAGGCCGTGGAGTTTAAATGGAAGGTAGGAGTGAGGAGTGCCATTCGGAAGATCCGAACAATGATGGTTACGCGTGGAGAGGCGCGTTCTGAAGGCCCGAGAAGGATGCGAAAGGATGCGTCGTGAGTTGTTACTGACCGGTAGCCAAGAGGACGGGCCCCTGGGGCAGGGGATCGTGAACGCTAGACGTGCCGATGGGCTCGGACGTGGGCGTCGAGTCGCCCGGCGAGATGTCCATGTCCTGGGCCTGTCGCTCTTGCCCCGAAACCTGTTGCGCCTGGCTCAGATTCTGAGCAGCAGCCGCGGCCGCCGCAGCCACCGCCGCAGCCGCCGCCGTTGCCGCGGCTATCGCCGCCGACGACGAGGTCTCCTCTCTGCACGAATCCCTATCCCTATCGCGCTCGCGCTCCCGCTGTTCCCTGCTGCCACTTCCACCGCCACCGCCACCGCCGCCCCCACCACCGCCACCGCTGCCACCACCGTCCTTGTCACCACGATCCCTATCTCGCGAAGAGGGGACGTCGTCCCGGCTGCTGCCGCTGTTGCCGCCAACCCCTTGGTTCCAGTAGTCACTGCCGCCTCCACCACCGCGCTTGTCCGACTGTCGTGAGGACTTGCTGCTATTGCCGTCGCGAGCACTGCCGCTGCCGCTGTTCGACCGCGAGTTGGAATGTTTGTCGTGACCTGTCGTACATGAACAATCAAGAGATGATTAGACACCGCCCAAGCGGATTCTCAAAAGCGCTACTGACTCTATTGTTTAACCTCCCATTTTATTTCGTTTTGTTTTTAAATGGCAAAACGAAATATTTGAGATAGGCCTGGTCGTAAAATTTATGTCAATTCGCTTATGCACTGCTTAATAATTCAACTTAATAATAAAAAATCAAGAAGATCTATGAATTTCCTCCATTCGCAATCCATTCGCATCTCTCACTGGTAATATCAATTTTACAGAACTACATAAAATTACAACAATTGTTTCCCGTTGCAGGTAGGGTTACATATATTTCGATAACAAAATGAATATTGCATTGGGTAAATTAAAAAAAAAAAAAAAGAAAGAAAAAAAAAAAGTGATTTATTTTTGAAATTTAATAAAAACATGATAAAGTTATTGAAAATTTAAGAGCAAGTAAAACAATTATTATTATTCTTAGGCTGTAATTAGTAATCAAATCATTGGAATATGAATTTATACTTAAATTCAATGATAAAGTAGGACGCTTTGGTAAATAACCAATGTAATTCCTCCTTTTTATACCAAACTCTGTTATCCTAGAGTTTTATCGATACTCTCCATCAATCGTTAGAGTACAATAAATACATAATGTATTGGATCGATTGCAAGAAACATTGATCTTCCTTAGAATTCGTATCATTTCAGGCCAAGTGTTTTACAATTTTAACATAATAAGCAAAGCCTATAATAAATCAATGACGGTAGCTTTTCGCTCTCGCCAGTTACATTATAACGAAATATGAATGTAATAAACTTTACTTTAAATATTAACAGTATTCCGATATTTCAATGTTAATTTGCAAAGACGGTTTTAAATTGTGAAAAATATATGAAATTTGAAAATGCCATCTTCAATGATATTCCAGTGCTTACTTGATCGAGAAGATGAATAGTCATTGGATTGGCGCTGACGATTATCTGTCCGAACAATCCATTCCCGTGGCTTTTCCCATTGGGATACTTCAGTTTTGCAATTGTAGTAATACTTTTTACCGGAGGAACTCATATGTTCTGACCAGTCCCCGAACCTCGCCGTCCGTTCCATAACACCTCGCTCATCACCACGCTTATCCTTTCCGACAAAATATTTTCAAATTAACAAACCAAGGGTTTATTTTGGCTTTTAAAGATAAAATAATAATACACATATTTAGTTTACAAAACGACAGGGTCAAGCAAACAATTACGCCACTGCAATAACCGAATTAATCAAATGGTATGCAGTCGATATTATAATTACCAATTGATTAAATTGTCGGATTAAGGAATCAATATTCCATGGACGAATTAAAAATAATCGAAATATAAATAATGAAAAATAAGATATAAATTTAGTATTAACTATTATACTTTTTATTTAATAAATTTCGTTAAATACTAACCTGACATGAATTATGTGTTGGTTTTCGTTGAGAAGAAGAATCTCTTGATGAATTTGAAGATAATTTTATTGGATGTAGAATCTATTTAATTAAAAAAATAATGCAAATTTTAAAAAATATATAGTCATATCAATTTTTAACTTAAAAATTATTACTATTCAATAATTAATAATAATGCTTTAGTTAATAAATCATTATTGAAAGTTGTAACTATTATATATTTTTAATAATATTAAAATATATAATAAGGATTTTTCAATTATTTTAATACCAGGTAAATAAGTCGATTTTATAAAAATGAATAATTATGATGTATCGATCACATGCTTATTTCACTTATATTAAGTTGTTATTGTTTTGGAATAGACAGTAGAAAATAGTAGAAGTTTTATGATTATTACTCTTATGTTTAATAGTTTAGTAAAATAATAAAAAGCCATCTCAAATTTAACATACTGATTAGCTACTAATTATTTACATTTTACATTTCACAAAATTGTTCAAACCTAAAAAAATAAAATGATTGAAATATAAATATTTGGTTAAATACTATTGGATTCGTGAATTACTATCCGACTGCTACAATAGTCTTAACTCATATTTTATAAAAAAAAATTTTAAATGAAAGTAACACTTACTTCTCCGCTGCTCCTATCATGATTGGTCCTGTGCTCAGAGTCTCTTGACTCTCGACTTCTCTTATCTTTAGGAGATCGTGCACAATCTACACATATAAAAAATATAAATTTATATTCAAAATATGTAACGATAAAATATTCATCATTTCATGTACTTCAAATGAATTATACTGATGTTCAAAGTTAATTAAAACTTACAGCATCAGTAGGCGTTTAAAATCTAAATTTACAGCTGAATTTTTTATTTGTTTAAATATTTCTTACTTATTTATCAATTAATATAGTAAGTATGTAGTATTTGTTAAATAATCAAATTTCTTATATTTATAATCTACAATTTAAACAAATAGTTTCTCATAAAAATATTATTGATACTTTTAATAATAAACAACAAATGTTGTAAGTTAATCATTAATCGTGTAATAGGTCTTCTAATAAAATAACTTGAAACAATAAATTACCGGAATACTTATCCCTAGAGGAGGACAATTTGTAGTCTCTATTTTCTCTCTCCTTCTTATATAGAGGCTTGGTGGAGTAACTACGAGGGCTGTCTCTGTCTGTTCCCATGCCCATTCCCAAGCCCCCTGCTGGGCTGTATGAATTGCCATTCGGCGAATCCCGCATTCGCCCTTCGTATCTGCCATCCGATGTGGTAGATGACGAGTAGCCACCCTTGGAACTGCTGTACTTGGCATTCTGTAATCAAAGGGAAATTAAAAAAGAAAAAGAAAATAAAGCCACATTAAAAGAAATCTTTAAGACAGTTCTTTTACTGTTAAATTGAGCTGCAAAACTTGAATAAATATATCATTATAAGCATTGTATACAATATTTTAATGTACGTAAATGGAAATAATTAACTATGTCCATATTTATAATTCTAACCTAAAAGAGTAATATATGTTCTTTTTATTATTTATTTTTATCTTATTACAAATAATTTACTGCACACGATTTTAAGACAATAATTTTAAATAAATAAACTTAATTCTCAAAAAATTGTAGATAATCACATATGTACATCAAGTACTTAATTGATATACTTGGTAAATGAATTTAGCCTTTACGTCCATTTAGCTTCAAATTCTAAGTTACTTTCTATGAACATTACATCTACTTTATTTCCTCCTAAAGCTAAAAAATGATCTATTTTAACAACCAATACGTAACTTTCTTAACATTCTCATGAAATAAGAGTTTTTTTATTATTATTTATTATTTTTTAAAAATATTTTCCGTGGAAAGAACCACCTTAAAAGCTTGTGTTAAATGAAGGAAAAAAAAAATGAGACAGAACCGCGTCTTTAAACGTCCGTACTCTTATCACGGGGAAGTCATCGTCGTTGGCACCGCGACTTTGACAATGCCTCCACGACATGTTTTCTCCGGCACCCTTTTGCAATCCCGGAGATATCTGGGTTATTGATTTTTCCTCTTTTAGAACCACGAGGAGGTTATGTTTACGCGAATCTCGTCCCCGAGGCCGTGAAGGCGACCGCATCTGGCCATCCCCGCGAGCACTGAGAAAAAACCAACGTCCGAGATTCCACCTTCCAGGTGTCTTTTTAAGCTCATATGATGACCGATACGTCAACTGAATTTTTTCTTCTGCAGCTTCTGCTCCTATCCCAAATGTTTCCGCGGAGGCGTCGATCAAACTACTTTTTTTTCCTTATAAATTCTCTTTTTTCAGAAGCTGAATACTCAAAGGAAAAAACGAACGGGGTACGGAAAAAAAATATTCAGTGCGAGTTCTCTACGCGGAACAATAAATCGGCTCCATCTTTGCAGGGAAGCGCGAGACTCCGTGATTAGATCTATGCACATCTATATGTGTATATGCGAAATTCTCTTGGATAACCTATAAAAGAGATTATAGAGCGAATTTTTTTTTTCTAATTTTTCTAATTTATCGTTATGGAAAATTGTTTTTTTTTTCCTTTATTTAAACTTTAAATAATTGCCACTGATTATCATTTCAATTCAATTTTATTATGTATGCATTATTAATTATAAATGGCCTTCCACATTTAAGCAGTTGGTTAATTATTTTAAACATAATGTTGAAATAGATCGACCAAGTCTCATCCAAACATTATTTATATTAACTTTACTTCATTTAACAGTGACAATAATTATATAATTAGTTATCATGATACGAAATTAAATGCCAGTTAAATGAATTATAATTTTAATACAACTTTAAACATACACACTTACAGGATTGTTTTGAAATTAAAAATGTACTTAAAGATAAGAAAATAAAGGCTAACGTAATAAAATACCAATCTGTCATTCATAATCTTTTATAATAATAATCACTGATATTATTAATGAATTAAAAATAATAATTGATGCAATTAATGACGGTGTTATATTTAATCTTCGAATAACTAATGAATCATAATAATGTCATAAAAGAAAATTCCATTATATAATAAAAATAAAATATTAAAATTTATGGCGATGTTTCATAAGTAAACCATTTCGTATATAAACCATTAGTAATAAAAGACACAATTATAAGCTAAAAATCATTGTATGAATAAAAATAATGCATTTTCCAAAGGAAATAAATATTAGATCATGCCTTAAAGCAATAAAGTTGACTAAATTTAGCAGAAAAGAGTTGTTAAGATTACATCTTACAAATGGAATTTATAGTTCGAGT